TAAAATAATTGACCCGCGATCAAAAAAGGTTGCCGACCACTGCTTTAGAATTTAGTTGACAAACCGAACTATTTTTATCGCAATAGTATCCGTGTATAATTCACGTACATTTCCGCGTGAGTTACCGCTGTTGTATCCTGAACTTTCAATAATCTTCTGCCTTTTGTCAAAGTCCACACATGCGGTTCAGTTAGTTTAGAACACCATTTGACAGGACAAAATATTCTCCTTATCTCTTTGGAACTGTTAATTACACTCTAACATATCAATCGTTAGGCCATTCACTCCCACGATGGTTAACTTTATGTTTCTAACTTTCAAACTTCTTTTTCATGTGACTTTACTTTTACTCTGTTTCCGCTCGTCTCGTCGCAGCTATTTATACGTCTATCACTTAGGCCTTCTAGAAATCTCCATAGCCTCGGCATCAATGAATTGCAAACACAACGTTCGATAGCCTTTACATCAATGAGTTACAAACACAAAATAAATGAATTAATAATACTACCTACACTGAACAGTCTTTTATATCTGACAGCGATATGACAATTTCATTTTTATTTTATTTGTTTATTTAGTTTCCGTGCAGTTTTATCAACAGTTTAACAGTTTGTTTTGTTTTCTATAGTAGATAATGTCTATTTTGCCCAAGGGAATATTGCATTAACATCGCGCATCTGTTTTGAAAGGGTCAGAGATTGAAATATTCTTTGCTGGACAGTTGGATAATGTCTGCTACAATCACTGAATGCAGTAAAAGAACAAGGGTCATAAGATGACACTGTTGACTAAACAAAGAAAACAAGTTTCCCTATTGAATTCAAATGTGCTTTCTCTATTCAGTCCAATGAGGAGATCTCTTAGCAAAGACAATATTTTGGGATCATCTTGTTTTAGATCTGCGAAGATCATTTTTAAGAGAGAGATAACTGCTAGATTGTCCGCGCAAACATGTATGTTGCATTTTCTTTTCTTTTTTGATTTAAATAAATATTGTATTTATTTTCTAAAACTTGTACAGTCTCTTTAGTTTTCACATAAGATTAAAGCTCAGTCACATTTTCAAATACAAACTCTACCATAAATTTCCTGATCAACTCTGCTATTACTATGTTGCGTCAGCGAGTCACGTGACTACTATGACGCAACGTTTTCTAGAACTA